AAATCAGGCTCAGCGTCACAGAAGGCCAAATCAGGCTGTCCAAGGTCCGAAGCCTCCTCGTCGGAAGCGTGCTGCTCCGGCAGACTTGCAGCAACGGGGCGCGCGCCTGGGACTCCAATGGCTTGGTCAGGATTGCAGTGCCGCAAGTCAGGCAATGCTTTCGCAGCCACGTTGTCCAAGTTTTGCAAAGTATGCAGCGTGCGCCGTGCCCAGTATGCTGCAGAGAAGACCATCGGACGCGCCGGAAGAGGTACAGAGGCGGCAGCGCCCTGCAGAACAGCATGAAACTAGCATGGACAGAAGACTCAGTTCGCAAAAGGTCGCTTAGGTTCGACCATGGCTTTGAAGAGGAGGAGCAACAACAAAGCACGCTTCTCCGCGTTCTCATCCTGCGAGGGCACGCGCGGACCAAGCAGTTGAGGCACGTACCACGCACGCCTTGTGAAGATTTGCTGGCGAAGAGTTGCGAAGTCTGGGTGCGAAGCAGCAAAAGACAAGCAGGTAGCAGAAAATCCAGAAGTTGTCTTAGAGAGTCCGCTGCACTCACGGCTTGTCACAGAGCCAACACGCGATCCTCGCGTGGCGGTGCGGCCGCAGATTCTTCGCATGATTTTACATTGGCTTCCGAAGCTTTGCGTCGTTTGCTGGCGTCTCCAAATCATCCTGCTTTTCTCCCAGATGCGGCTCACGAAGCAGGTGCGCCCGCTGCGTCGCAGCGCGTGTATGCGTATCTTCCTCATGCGTCTCGATTCCGTGGATGGACTTAATCGTCGCACGTTTCTGCCAGACACGGTGTGGGCTCGCTGGCTGCTGCTTCGACTTGATCGCTCTTCTGCCGTGCATTGGCGTCTTGACCTTGACTTTGTTTCTGTGTTGTTCTCTGTCTTGCATCGTCGGCGTCTCTTGCGTGCTCTGCGTTCCAAATTGCGAAGCCCCTCCTTCCGCGAGGCCGTGCCGCAGCTGTGTGCTCTTCGCTCTGTTGACTTTGCGCAGGTCTCTGCGTGCATTGGTGAGGCAGGCTCGTTGCCCGATGCTTTGCAGGCGCCTGCTGTGCCTCCCGCCATGAAGAAGTTGCTCCGCTTGCTGCAACTGGTCCAAGGGCAGGTTCCTGGAACTGACTCTGCACGGTACGTCACGCGCACCAAGTTGCAGTCCCTTGCCGTGTAGTGCGGCCTTCCCTTGCTTTTTGTCACGTTAAACCCTGCGGATGTCTTGCATCCCTTCACGTGGCGATATGCACTCGATTCATCCACCGTGCCTGTGCCTCCCATCGATTTGGACGCTTCCTTGCGGCAGGCTCTTTCGGATTGCAATTTGTGGTGCCTTGTTGCGCAAGATCCTACAGCCGCCGTCCTGGCATTTCGTTTGCACGTGGCCTTGTTTATGCGGACGTTGCGTGGGTTCTCCTGAAGCCTTGGCCATTGATGGCATTGTTGCTACAGGCGCTGCTAGTATCTTCGGGGATCTCACGGCTGCTTTCGGCTCTGTTGAGCCGCAGATGCGGGGGAGTTTGCACATCCACATGCTCTTGTTCTGCCATGCCTTCGCATCGCCGCAGGACCTTGTCCAGAGATTCTCTGACAACCTGTCTGCTTTGGAGGCGGCTCTTTGGCAATGGGTGCGAAGTGTTTCCTGCACTTCTTTCGAAGCTTGCCTCCCACTTTTCCAGCTTCCTTCTGGCAACCTGGAAGATTTGCAGCCGCTGCCCTACTCTGCGGGCAACCTTTCCGTTCTGCCTGCCTCAGCTTCCGCGCACGTTTCTCTGGCTGATGCCCTTTGGTTTGCCTCTGATCCGGAACGCCAAACGCTTGCGTCCCCGCCTTGGAGCGATCCTTTCCTTGAGTTGTCGGCAGGCCTCAAGCCGTTTCAGCCTTAGTGTCGTAGCTACCTCTCGTCTGACGCAACCGACTCTGCCGCCGACTGGGGCAAGAAGCTGCTGTACGACTTGCGTCATTCGGTTCTCCATTCTGGCCTCCTGCATACTTGTCGTCGTGGCACCTGCGACAAAGGACTCTTGGGGCGCTTAGGCTTTTGTCGGCTTGGATTCTGGCATTGGGAAGATGTGTCCACAGCGGAGTCGCCTCATACTTGGCAGCGGCAGCACGGTCACGCATTGTGTGCACGTCCTTCCTTGGGTTCCAGCCCGCCTGCTACAGACTTCTTCCAAACGGAGCGACATCATTGCTTTTTTGGTCGCGTGAACCCTGTCATCCTCTTGTGCGTGAAATGTAATCATGACGTCTCCCTCCTGCAGCGGTTTCCTCATGATTATCTTGCTTTGCGCGACAAGGCTGTGGAGACCATTGTTGCCCGCATGTCGGCTTCCATGCGCTCCCTGTTCTTCTGTGACAGCTTATGCGACTAAAACGCAGCCGCAGCTGCGGTCTTTGTGGACGTTCTTGCAAGAAGGCATTGCCCGCTTCACGGAAGAAATCCGCGGCGCTTCTACTGCAGAGGCTGCCGATGATAGTCGTCGAGCGCAGCAGACTCTCTCGCGTATGTTGATGGCCGCCCAGAAGCGCTGCCACAAGTCTTCTCAGGAGATGATTGCTGCCTTGCTCGGTCATGAAGACTTTGTCTGCACGCACGCTTTCCGGCCGCTCTACTACGGTAAACTCGCCGCTGAGATGGAGCTGTTGCTGCCTGTGGAAGGCTCCTGTGCTGCCGCTGTTGCGCGCGATGCTGCTCCTTCCCTTGTGGTGTGCCTCTCTCTGATGTCCCGCGCGGTGCAGCGACTGCTGCTGCGTCTCTGCCAGGCTTGCCTTCCGCAGCACGTTGGCGCTTTTTGCCTCACGCCACTGAGGATTACCTCCACAGCATAATATGGATTATGCTGCTGCAACCAGCGCGAGGCAGACTCAACGACTGCACGACGCACCACGAACTCAGACGCCCAGCCCAGGTCACTTTGATTCTCTGCACAAAAGAAGACGCTGAAGTAGTCAGCTACAGCTGCCGCAGAACGCGGCATGCGCAGCAAGAGCGAAGAGCTGTCTTGTGGAAAGGCAATAGCGCTGGTTGTGCCCAGCAAGCCTTTCTGTCTAGCCGAGAAGTCGCCAGTGGAAGTAAGCGAGCGGAGGCGCCGAACTGCAAAGCCGCGAGCAACAAACATCTGCTTATTCAGGGTTAAACAGCGCAGCTCAGGCGGGAGTGGCAGCGCGAGATTATCATTAGCCAAAGAGGTTGGAGGCAAGCGAGGGCGAGGACCACGCAAGGGAGCAGCACAATCCAGGCAAAGCACGCATGTCAAAGGCATGGACGAGTCGGCAGCAGCGGCTCGCCACACGGCAAGGGACGCCGCGTCAGGCAGGTGCAGCAGCCTCTCGGCCAGATTCGGCCGCACGCGCCCGTGCCTCATGCACAGGCACCCCCGCCTGCAGGATGGCCGGCAACTCCAAACCAACGAAGCCGGCAGGTGAGCCCGCAAAAAGGCAAGGGCCGCATGGACGCGGCGTGCGGCGTCGGAATCAGGGGCGTGCGGAAACAGACGAGAGTACCTGACACCTTTGTAGGAGAACCGAAGTTCAGGGGCACGCGGCGGGCAACTTGGCCAAAGGATGGAAGCCATGCAGAAGCAACAGGCGCAGAGCGGCACGCAGAGAGAGAAGGGCGCATCCACAGCCACGGAAAGCAAGAGAGAGAGAAGACGGCAAGCACGCAAAGTGCGACAATGGAAGCCAAGCGTGTGACAGGCAAGGAGAAGTAGAGACGCGGCAAGCGAAGAAGAGTACGGCGGCAAAGAACCGGAAACGCAGGCGAAGACATAGAAGGAAGCGAGCAACGCTGCCGGCGACGGGCGAGCGACAGGAGGCCCAATGTGAGGCAGAAGACTTGCATCCGGCGGCAGCACCTGCCGTGCAGGAGGCGAAGAAATCAGACAAGAAAAGAGAAGAACACGATTGAAAAAGAACCGGCAAAACGGGTCGCAAAAGGAAAAGCCAAAGAGGGTTGGAGGGCAAGACTTGCTGCCGAGGCGCGCACCGGCACGAACTGCAGCAGCGCAGGAGCCCGGAAGGCAGCATTGCTTGGACCCGCGCCGGCAGAGTAGAACAGAGACAGGCAGCCGTGGAGAAGAGGCACGTGTTGCCGGGGCAGTTGCGGGGGCAAAATTTCCCTGCAGCTCCCCATGTGAATAGGTGGGCGTGTATTTGTTGTAAGGGCATCCTTTTCGCCCTGAAGGTTAGAGGGCAACCAAAACAAGAAACTTCAGGTTTTGGATGCGGCGTCCCTACTTGGACAGAAACCCGTCGCGAGCAAGTTCGTGCCACATGCTGCTCCCGTGTCAAGAAAAGCTAACATAACCGACGCCATACCAGTCTCAAGATTTGAAGTGTAGAGAGCATGTACGCCCTCTTCGTTCGCAAGAGAGGATAGAACTTGGAGCCGCACAAAAAGCGACATCCTGGGGTCGCTGAAAACCCGTGTTTGAAAGAAATAATTGTTCCTTGGCGACATGATTCTCCCTGAGCTCAGAATTCCAAGATGCATGGGTCCCGAACGCGACACAGCCAGTCGCTTTGATTCGACTTTCGCGCCGCGAAGGCGCTCACATCCGACGAAAAGGCATGGAGAATTCACAGATCTCTGGCTCAGCCGAGATCCATGTCTTGCGAATGTGACCACAGAACCTGGAGATTCTCCAAGCATTAACATACTGTTGCTGGGTCCGCCAAAAGTGACTTCCAAGGGACCCTCGAAATCTCATGGTAGGAAGCCACCCCCAAAAGGAACCTGTCAGAACGCAAAGTGGTGTTCAGGCAAGAATCCAGATGAAACAGTGCCTCATGTAGAAGTCACGGGATTTGTCAAGAGGTTTGACTGCGTCCAGGACTGACCGTATTTGCTGTTTGCAGGTGCCATCTTGACCCAAGCTGCAGCCATTGAAATCACATGCGGCCACAGCAGGTTCGAGCCTGTTTCAGTTTCGGGCCCAGGGCCCAGCAATGGACTCCTCGCAGCAGCACCAGATTCGCTCGAATGGAGTTGCATCTGAAATGCTGTCAGGTAGCTCCCGCACCAAAGCATGCTTCCAAACACGCCAAGAACTCGCACAGAGGTTCCTCATGGGTTCAAGAATTTGGCTTTAGACAACCCTACAGGTGAGCTCATTATTAACACAAAGCACACGGCAACACAAAAAACGCGGAGGCTTCCAAGCGCCAGACCGGGTCTCGATCCAAGCATGCGACACAAACCACTGAGGCAGCTGAAGTTTGTCTGCCATGACCTCCACCAAGCTGCAGGCTGTTCCAGTGTAGCCCGCCGTGGCTGGCCTTGCCGAAAGGAAGGTGAAAGTTGTGGGAGACGAAAACATGAACGGTCGCCTTTTGGACCTGTTGCCGCCGGCACGTGCTGGCTTTTGAAGGGCATACTAAACGGGGCCCCACAGTTTGACAACCCCCCTGCATAGACTTCTGGCATTGCAGTTTCATTTGGACCCAGATTCCATTGCCTGAGAAGAAACAAGCCAAAAGCTAGAAAAAAACAAATGCTCCGTCAGCAAGTGGCTTGATGATCCAATAATTCGCAGGATAGAAGTTGAAACGCTTCACCTCCAAGCGCTGCCGTTGTGCAAATGGCTCGCACGAACTGCTCGCCACGCGCCCAATGAGCTGGACCAATGTCTGCAAGTGGGCCAATGCAAAGTGGGCCAATGTAATGCCCCTCTCTGCCACGTCTCCAATGCGGAACCCGTCCTGCGGGCGAAAAATCCGATCCCAAGCCGCGTGTATAAGGCACCCCAGAAAACGGGCATCCGGACAGGCCAGAGGTAATTTCGATCGTTTCGATTCATGTTCATTAGCCGTCCTTTATAATTACGCAGATCACATGGCGTTCCTAAAAAGTTGCAGCGCGCGGAGAGTTCACGACGCCAAGTCTCCTCAGTGTTGATCGCCGAGTACTTTGCCAAAACCAGACTATCGCCTGCGACAATCCCATCATGGTGAAATTGGCGAGGTCCACACGAGAGCAGCTTGTTGCCATGCCAGGGACAGCGTGGCCAGCGGGCGCGCAAAAATGACATAACATCGCCGGCAGTGCGCGCGCCAACACGAAGTGACCCATATCCAGGTACATCCACGCACACTGACATGGGCTTCTGGCATGTGAGGCACAATCAACATACAAGCAAGGAAAACTCGCAAACCCCAGGTTCTGCTGGGTTGGTGGGAAACTTTGTGAGTCCTCCATCGTCTCCCCTAGCTCCTGCCGCCCCAAACTGACAGTAGATCAGCTTCCAACGCGTTTTTGGGTGGTTTGGGGCCCGTTTCGTGGAGGGTCCACAGCTTCCCATTCACCCACAAGAACCAGGGGCCCGATGAAATCCAAATCCAAAACACCAAAAGGATAGCTGAATTGCCTACGAAAGAGTGTCAGCTGAGTCGTAATAAAAACCCGGCACTAAAACGGTCCACCCAGAACCAAGTCAGGAGTGAAAAAGGCGGCTGCACCCATGTATGGTTGGGATTACCCGGGTTTTGATTGTGGCTCAGCTCAACTCGAGCCAAAGCTGCTTCAAAGAACCTGTCGGGCTGATCAACTCGGCACACATAAGCGAGCCTGGGAGTCGCTTGTCCAGGGGCCAAAAAAAACTAAAGCCCCCCACAGTGCAAGGATGGCACGTTGGCATCTGAAATGCTGGGGCTTACCCCCAGGATTTGGCGCCTGTACACGACCGAAAGGTGCGCACTGCGCAAGGTCAGCTCGGACTGATCTGCGCAAATGCAACGTCTTGGCCTCATCTGAAGGTACACAGCAAATAGTATTTGCGGATTTCACCTTGGAGGTCAGAGGGCAACCAAAACAACAAACTTCACTTTTTGGATGCGGTTGCCCGACTTGACGCAAACCCGCTGCGACCAAGTCTGTTCGTGCCACATGCTGCGGTGGCTGTGGATGGAGGAGTCGCGCTGTCTGTGGCAGCCGCGGGGGCAGCCCGGGGAAACCCGCGCCAAACGCCACCCCCCGCCACCTCTCGACCGGGCCCTCCCATCCAGCCGAGCAGTTGCGAACGCACGCAGCGGCAGCGGACATGCCCAGCATTGCGTGCACCCCAGGTCACTCGAAACGGAATTGCCAAGAATGCATCACTCGAAACGGAAGTGTCAAGAAGGCGGGCCACAGAACCTGACGTCCCGAGCATCCCCAGCAGAACAGAACGTGCCGCGCATCCCCAACCCACTGAAGCTTGACATCACCAGAACGGAACTGTGAAGAAGGCAGCGCCGCTCAGCCGAACGTGCCCTGCGCCCCCAGCCCTAGCCCACACACAAGACCTCCGGAGACACATTGCAGCCTGTCTCTGAGGGACGCTGTGCTGAACTTGAATAGCACCGTTAAGAATTCTTAACGTGCCTTTGGAGCGGGCTGGGGATGCTGGGCACTTTCACTTCGGCCGGCATTCTTGACATCCCCGCCCCAAAAAGGGCTGAAATTCGACGCGGGAAATCCCCCTTCGTATGCCCGAAGCACGGCCCAAAAAATCCTCTCCGACCACGAGCAAACCAAGCGAGAAGCGGGACGTTGTTGGAGAAATCCGGTCCACGAGTGCTGAGAAAGACTGAGTAGTTTGTAGAACAACAAGGATGCCCAGGGCCGCCTGGAAAGGTGAGCAGGCTGCGCTGAACTTGAAGAGCACCGTTAAGAGTTCTTAACGTGCCTTTGGAGCGGGCTGGGGGTGCCGGGCACTTTCACTTCAGCGGCCGGCATTCTTGACATCCCAAGGATGCCCAGGGCCGCCTGGAAAGGTGAGCAGGCTGCGCTGAACTTGAATAGCACCGTTAAAAGTGCTTAACGTGCCTTTGGAGCGGGCAGGGGATGCTGGGCACTTTCACTTCGGCGGCCGGCATTCTTGACATCCCCGCCCCAAAAAGTGCTGAAATTGGACAAGGCGAGCAGGCTGTGCTGAACTTGAATAGCACCGTTAAGAGTGCTTAACGTGCCTTTGGAGCGGGCTGGGGATGCTGGGCACTTTCACTCCTCGTTGGAAGAATCCGGTCCAGGAGCGCTCATGGAAAAAAGCTGTAAAAAGCAGTGCTGATGAAGACTGAGTAGTTTGTAGAACAACAAGGATGCCCAGGGCCGCCTGTCTCTGAGGGACGCTGTGCTGAACTTGAATAGCACCGTTAAGAATTCTTAACGTGCCTTTGGAGCGGGCTGGGGATGCTGGGCACTTTCACTTTGGCCGGCATTCTTGACATCCCCGCCCCAAAAAGGGCTGAAATTGGACGCGGGAAATCCCCCTTCGTATGCCCGAAGCACGGCCCAAAAAATCCTCTCCGACCACGAGCAAACCAAGCGAGAAGCGGGACGTTGTTGGAAAAATCCGGTCCACGAGTGCTGAGAAAGACTGAGTAGTTTGTAGAACAACAAGGATGCCCAGGGCCGCCTGGAAAGGTGAGCAGGCTGTGCTGAACTTGAAGAGCACCGTTAAGAGTTCTTAACGTGCCTTTGGAGCGGGCTGGGGATGCTGGACACTTTCACTTCAGCGGCCGGCATTCTTGACATCCCCGCCCCAAAAAGGGCTGAAATTCGACGCGGGAAATCCCCCTTCGTATGCCCGAAGCACGGCCCAAAAAATCCTCTCCGACCACGAGCAAACCAAGCGAGAAGCGGGACGTTGTTGGAGAAATCCGGTCCACGAGTGCTGAGAAAGACTGAGTAGTTTGTAGAACAACAAGGATGCCCAGGGCCGCCTGTCTCTGAGGGACGCTGTGCTGAACTTGAATAGCACTTGAATAGCACCATTAAGAGTTCTTAACGTGCCTTTGGAGCGGGCTGGGGATGCTGGGCACTTTCACTTCAGCGGCCGGCATTCTTGACATCCCCGCCCCAAAAAGGGCTGAAATTGGACAAGGTGAGCAGGCGCTGCTGAACTTGAATAGCACCGTTAAGAGTGCTTAACGTGCCTTTGGAGTGGGCTGGGGATGCTGGGCCTTCAGCGGCCGGCATTCTTGACATCCCCGCCCCAAAAAGTCCCATTCGCATGCCCGAAGCACGGCCCAAAAAGAGCCTCTCTGATCACCCAACCCAGCATCCCCAGCATCTCCAACATCCCCAGCATCCCCAGCATCCCCAGCCCACTCCAAGCCACCCCCTCCAGGTGCCCAAAAACTGCTCAAATTGGACGCGGCAAATGCCCTATAGTATGGCCCAAAAACGCCCCGCCCGCACCCCCGTATTACTCACTTTGTTCGCCTAAACTGAACTCAGCCTAAGCCTCCAAAGGAGGCTGGCTTTCGTGATTGGTTCACAGTGTGGGACAAATAACAGCGTCTAGTGCTCAAACAATCCACCAAACTACCTCAGTTTTTACCTCCAGCTCTAACAACCATATTGAGCGACCCTTAAACTACAAGGTAAGTTCAAACAGATCCACAAACAGTTTTCGAAGAGAAAAGGAGGCATCAACGAGCGTTCAACGGCTTCACTTTGAATCCCTTGGCATCATAGCAGAAAATGATGTTCTTTTTGCAGCGCCCTACAAGAAAGAAGAACCGAACCGAACAAAACAACAAACCAAGCAACCAAAAAACCATGGCAACAGTGAAGTTTTCACCCCAATTCATTCTCCCCCGAACACCCACGTCTCGAACAAAAATTGGCTCCCGGCTGAGAACCCGCAGGCCCTGGATGGACCTGGACGACAGTTGTCTCCTGTGAATCCCCTCACTGGAAAACCCCTTATCAACCAAGCAATTTGGGTGTATGTGTCATTTTTGTCAGGGCACAAAAGTATAAAAGAGATGTGAGGTGGCGAAACAAGGGGAACCAAAAGGAAATCGCGGCCATAGGGGGTACCTACATTTAGAGACATACACTGGGTGAGCATCAGAATTCAGTGGGGATTCATGTCCACCAACCATTTGGGAGGAGGCCTCCCTGCTCAAATTCATAGCCAATTGAAAACCAAGCTCAATGAGACAAACTGCGCAAAGGCTGCTTACTGGGGGGTCATGGTCATGGTTCCTCTACGAACCACTAATCATGGTTGCTGACTGAACTCCGAAGATCATGACCGATGCACAAGGATGCTCGAAGAAAACAATTGGCTTCCAAAAAGGCGCGAATCAGCTTCCCGAATGCGGGCTTTTTGATCTGCTTGCTGTGGCTCGGAAAGCTACCCCAGAACTCGGGCGCACATGGAGCGTTTGGAACTTCATGATGAAATCTCACAGCATTGCACACCAGTCACGGAAAATAATAATAATAATAAAACTGCGCGTTCTACAAACCTCAAAGGCCTGAAATGTTATGAAAGGCATCCGCCAAGTAAAGGACCTGCTTCATGAGCTCGCTTTTACCTCCAGAGCTTGCCGTCAAATATCGGCAGGTTTATGCGTTCTTGCGTGTTCAATCTTTATTGCCCACTTGTACATGTGTGGACAGACCATTCCGTATACTTTCTGGCAATTTTTGTTTCTTACATCGCCAGTGAAAGCCACATTTCTTGCCCACAAAGCAATACCCCCATTCCTGCAAACCACTACGGCAACTGCCTTCAGGCCATTCAATTGGGAAGCTAAACCAACACTCATCGACCAATTTGGCTCTCGGGTCTTATGCTTACTGCCTGTCCATGGGAACTGAAGCACCCCAAGTGGCGGCGCTTTTGGAATGGGCGGCTGACCACTTGGAAAAGTAGCTGTAGTTGCCTGGCAAATGGTTTGTGCAGCCCATACCGGTAAAACCCAGAAAAAATTCCCCGGCCTGAGTAGTTAACCGATCAAAAGAACACCTATGGCCATATTCAGTCTAATGTTGACCCCATATTAATCAACCCCAGTTTATTAATAGGGGGGTTTCCCTGGGTTTAGTGGGCAATCATCACCTGTGGAGGGGAACACCCCCTATTAATAAGCTGGGGTTGATTAATATGGGGTCAACCTTACCGCACAACATGGCGGTGTCCTCTTTGGAGCCCTCCCCCTTTTGTTTTTACACGGGGGAAATCAAGAGGGGAAGAACGGTTGGCCGAATTGGGGGGGGTTCTCTTCCCAAGGCGACAAAAAACATGACGCGCTTCCTGGATCCGAGTGGCAGCTTCTGGCCCACGTGATGGTTCTGGCGCAGCTGTGCCAGCCGTGCCTTGGA